ATAAATAAATAAATAAATAAATAAATAAATAAATAAATAAATAAATAGAAAAAGAAAGAAAGAAAGAAATCATTGTGGTGACCCTTGTTCCATTTCTCAGCCTCTTCTCACCTGGACTCTTCGGATGTCACCCACACATTAGGTGACTCACTCCATGCCCAACAACTTTTATTTTAAACAAAACATTTGAACTGAGTCTGGTGGCACAAGACTCTAATTCTAGCTTCCTGGGAGGCTGAGACCGTACAGATGTGGTGAACACACACACAGACATACAGGCAAAACACTCAGGTGTAATATAATACATCTTTCTACCCATAGCTTCTAGCTGGCTCCCAGCTAGACGTCTCACTACTTCATTCACGTCCTTGAGTTTCAGAGTGGCTTGCTGAGTGAGGAGATGGAGCAGGCAAAATAACAGCACTGGGCTGTGTCCACGTCCTCTTCTCCGGAACCGATGACTGTTACCTCACTCCCAACGAGACTTCCTAGACGTGTCTAAAGACTCCTGAATGGGCGCCTGACCTGGGTTATAAAAGTGGGAGAGCACACGCCTTTAATCCCAGCACTTGGGAGGCAGAGGAAGGTGGGTCTCTGTGAGTTCAAGGACAAACTGGCCTACAGAGCGAGTTCCAGGATGGACTCCAAAGTTACACAGAAAAACCCTGTCTCGAAAAACCAAAATAAACAAATAAATAAATAAAATAAAAAATACAAGTGGGAGACCTATGGCCTCAAGGGTCCTCACAGGAGAAAAGAAGGCCGTGGGACTGAGGAAGCAGAAATTAGAGCGATGCATGAATGTACATATGTGTGCGCACGCACACACTCACACACACACACACACACACACACGTAACACACACAAAGAAGATTGACATGATGGAAGATGGAGGACGGGCTGAGATCCAAGGGGGGGCGAAGAGTCACTGGAAGCCCAGAACCCAGCAGCTGCCACCTTGATTGGAGGTCAGTGCTGATGTTCTATTTCTGGCTTGCAGAGTGGTGAGGATGAGAGATGTCTACACTAATCTCATTGCAGTTTGTTGCAGGAACCAAGGGGAAGGCAGCCCGAAAGACTTACTAGCTCTCACTCCAAACTGGCCTGTAATTTTGCACGGAGCCCTCCTGTCGAAGCCTGCTGATGTGCTGTCTCATGGGAGTAGTCCTGGAACTGGGGACGCTACGGCAGGACGATGCCGTGAGTCGAAGATCAGCCAGTGCTACAAAATTCCACGACAGTCTGGAAATGGTTACCCCCCCCCCAGGAAAAAATTTCTTTTCTTCCTACCTCCTCTGTTCTGGCACTCACATCCAGGGAAGTATTTAGTCAACTTCACCGATTTGTTTTGAAGGACACAACCAGAGAGAAAAAAGATTCTGCCGGCTAGGTGGGCGATGTCATATACCATGTCAATACCATGGTACAGCTAAAAGAATAATCTGATATAATTGGGAATACGTCTAAAAGGGTTGTCATTATCAGCATGTTTTGATTACATCAGCCATTTTTTTGACAGAGGGATGGAGTCGGTTCCGTGGACAGCATGCACGTGCACATCTGGACTTTCCCTGGGGTCCCTTGCTGCACACCCACTGATCAGCCACAAGGGCCTCATTGACTTTTCCAGAGACTATGGACACCTGCTTGCCAGCCCTGGATTCAGCATCCACACTGCCTGTAAAGCCAGGAACACCCTCACTGGGAAAGCGTAGGTGTCTTCCTTTTTAGAAAACATGTTTCGAAATAGAAGGGGGCACTCACAGAACTAGTGCTCCCAGAAAACACTACCCATCCCTACACACACTCATAACCAGCCCCAGCACACTCAGGTAGCTTGTCACAGCCTCAGAACTTATGGGCACACAGATTGAGAGAAGGTCAGAGATCTCAACCCACTGGGTGCCCCTCGATCCTCAGCACTACTGTTCACATCTGGAGTCTCACCTGAACCCGTAAATCACAGAACAGAAGATAGAGTAGCTGGCTTTTGGTTTTAGCACAGATTTCACTCTGATTACCTGAGGGCCTTCGTCCTTCCCGCTGCCCGCTCCGGTCCATACTGGCTCCATGGGTGTTTCTCAGACTTGTTGATTTGGTTTGTTCTCCTCTGGTCCTAAATGAATAAAGAAAATATTAAATGTGTTTTCATGCAGCAGGAGTTTGTGCAAGGGACTGATAAGAAACAGACGGACCTGTCCTTTGAGAAGTCCTCACCCATTCTCTCCAGCTCACATTCTCCCCAGTCGCCTTTCAATTAAGACAGTGATAAAATTGCATATTAAAATAATCTAATAATAATATAAATATAATATAAATTGCCAGCTATTCTACAAACATATTAACATATCAACAAACTCTGTCAACCGATGCTTTTCAATCACCCAACACATAAGATGAGTCGTTGGTGGGTGCCTGTAATCCTGGTTCTTTCCTAAGAGGTTCAAGGAGATTCAACAGTTCAGGGACATCCTTGACTACACAATAGACTGTGGGTTAGCCTTGGGTAAAGAAGAATCAGCCCCAACAAATTAAAAGCAAGTAAAGCCCAAGAACAAGAAGAATGCTGCCTTTGTAATGGTAGAATGGGTCCCCACTGAAGGCAGTTAACCACATTTCCTCCTCAGAGTAATGAGTAGACTACCAGCTCCTCCCAGGAGGCTTGCTTAGAGCACCAGAGGACTCTATATCTGTGTGGACTGGAGAAGCATGCCAGACACACAGGTTACGGTTATAAAACTTCGGAGAAGAATTGAAAGAAAATGATTCCGGCATCCTCTAGAAAACACGAGTCTTCTCCACCACCACCACCACTCATAGGTATGGCCCCTACTGAGATCTGTTGTGCTCCACAGAGTCAGGAAACTGGACTTCTCTGGGTCCTGTTGGACGGAACAGAGTCTGGAGTGTGTAGGGAGAGTTCTGCTTTTTCTGGACTTCTGGAAGTCTGAGAACCTTTGGGGAGCTAGCCCTTATAAAAGCTCTTGGTTTGCTTGAAATGGTTCAGCCTATGTGGATTATAGGGTAGTGGGGAGAGGATCACAAGGAGCCTTTACTCTTATCTCAGGAGGCTGAGACAGGAAGCTTGCCCAGATTTCTAAAATTCTTAGTCTAGACCAGTTAGCAAAGCCATAGTGTCAATGTAAAAGTATCAAGGAAACAGCAAAAGCGTAAGCAAATCGTTTTGATTTCATCTTTTTTTAAAATATTTATTTATTTATTATGTATACAATATTCTGTCTGTGTGTATGCCTGCAGGCCAGAAGAGGGCACCAGACCTCGTTACAGATGGTTGTGAGCCACCATGTGGTTGCTGGGAATTGAACTCAGGACCTTTAGAAGAGCAGGCAATGCTCTTAACCTCTGAGCCATCTCTCCAGCCCCCTTGATTTCATCTTTGAGACAGTTTGTTGCTGTTGTTGTTGTTTTTACATAGCCCTAGCCAACATGGAACCCACTAAAATGTAGACCAAAGAGTCCAGGACTTCACACTGATATGCCTGCCTCTGGATCTACTCCCCAGAAATGGGATTAAAGGTGTGAACCTCCATGGCTAGTGTATCCAGTAACCTAATACGGCTGCTAAATATCTTCACTTCATGTAATCTTTGAATGAAACGAGATATCTACAAAACTTGTGGGATCTGTTTTTTTTGTAAATAAGAATCATCTCTAAAACTGTAGATAATCCCGGTATTGGGTAAGTGGAGCCTGGAGGCAAAAAGAGAAAAAGGAAGATGTGGGGGACCGCAGGGACAGAGGGGAGCATGGGTGTGGGAAAGGCAGAGTGGGGGAGGAGGGGCCACACTGGGAACGGCCATGCTGGGCCAGGCCAGAAGCCTTC